CTGTTTTTTTCTTATGTGATGAGAAAGAGATTATTTTACCTCTCATCACTGCCTTTCCTGCCTCCCAGAGAATAGATGCTGATGTTCCAGGCAGGTCATTATGTTCTAAATATAAAGCCCACTCCTTTTTAAAAAATTCTATAAAACCTTCATCTTTAAGCAGTGATGTATTAAACCTCCAGTTTTTGCTTGGTGGGATTGCTTTCTTGTTTACTAGAGTTAAAGAAACCGGAGCATGGTCGCTGACAACAATAGGGTGTATCTCAGTGTCTGAAATGTCAGCCAACAATGAGCTGCTGACTAGAAAATAATCCAAACGTGAATGAGAGTGATGGACGTGTGAGAAAAAAGTATACTCTCTATGGTTAGGATGAAGAGATCGCCATGCATCACAAAGCCCATAATCACTCATGTACTGTTTAACTATATAAGTAGATTGCCAATTGCGCCGAGTCCCAGCTGTACTGAGCCTGTCTAAGGAATGCATCCAAAGATTAAAATCACCTCCAAGTATAAGTGGACAGTCCAAGTGTTCGGAGAGTACAGAGAAAAAATTATGAAAGAATGGAGGGTCATCAATATTTGGACAGTATATGCTCACAATACATAAGCGTTGGTTCTGTATAGTTATTTTTAACATTATAAATCTACCTTCTGGATCAGAAACTGTGTCCAGTACTGTGAAATTGATGTTTTTGTGTATTAAAATAGCTACCCCTCTTTGCCTAGAGTTATAGCAGGCAGAGAACATGCTGGGAAACTCAGGTGTTTTAAGTTCATCTGCCGATGTGGCAGATCTATGAGTCTCCTGTAATAATATTACGTCTGCTTGCATTCTTTTTAACTGATCAAAAATCTTTAATCTTTTATCTCTTGAGCCAGTTCCATGTACGTTCCATGAGACAAATCTTAGTGCACCCATAGATGTGTGTGTGAGTAGCTAAAATATGACGCCTTCATGTGAATAAGATGGAATAAGTATCTAAATGTATAAAATAGTATGTTAATAAATAACAGAAAAGTAAATAATAATAAGGATTCAACAGTGTTTGTGGTTGTATTATTTGACGCATAAATTATGATATTGTGTTGTGACTTAAATATATCCATGTGTGTGTGTGTGTGTGTGTGTGTGTGTGTGTGTGTGCGTGTTCCTGTGTGTGTGTGTGTGTGGGTCTGTGTGTGCATGTGTGTGTCTGTGTGTGTGCGTGCGTGTGCGTGTGTGTGTGTGTGTGGAGTCTGACGCAGTGTTGGAAAGTTGTGTGGTTGTGCCATACAGGTGTAAAGAAGCAGATAAAAAGAGGAAAGGAAAATACAGAAACAGGTTAAAAAAGAAGAAAGAACTAGAAAGAAAAGGTGATGGGGTGTGAGGTGATGATGAACAGGTGAACTCATCATCTAAAACACGGATCTAGCAGCTGTTTATTACTGACGTGCTCAAACCCAGTGAATCTGATAAGAAAAATAAAGGTCTGACCTGATGTTGGGCTAATACAGCCAGTCTGTCACTCCTCGCTCCTTGTAAAGTTTATTATCCACATAAAGCTTATCCACTGAGATGACAGCTCTCTTCCCATCTTGGATAAACTTTTTACGCAGCGGAAAGAGAACTCTGCGCCGATCCAGGATTTCCTTAGGAAACTGGTCATTAACGCTGAAGTCTTTGCCTTTGAGCTCTCTTCCGTGACTTTTAACCAGATCCTTCTGCTTAAAATGTTCAAATTTAGCCACGATGGGACGAGGTCGTCTGCTGTCCCCTCTTTTAGCTCCAAGGCGATGTACTCGGTCGAAGGTGATGTTTTTTACCGTTTCTTCGGGTATCTTCATTTGGGTCTGGAGAAAGTGTTTAACAGTGCGTTCGCAGTCCTCGGCCCCTCCCACCTCCTCCGACAGACCTGCAAACACCAAATTATCCCTCATGCTGCGGGCCTGAAGGTCCAAAACCGTCTCCTTCAGAGTTTTGTTGTCCTGGGTGATCCGCGTCATTCCCTCCTCCAGGGAAGAAACGGACTCCCGCAGAGACGCGTTCTCAGCAGCGAGCCGCTCCACCTGCTCCTGGCTGAATTCCAGGGACTGGCGGAGGTTCTGAAACTCCTGGTGCAGAACCTCAAGCAGATGAAGACGCCCCTCAAATCCCAGAAGCCGTTTATCTATGGATTCTAATAATTCCAATATGTCCTTCCGGGGAGATGAGGCCTCAGGCGAGTCCTGAGGGCGGCTCCGCTTCGTCCCAGGTGTTTCAGGTTCACCTGCTGATTTCTTCGGACCCATAACAAATAACTCGAAAACTCCGTCAATAAAGTTCTGTAAACTTTCTAAATTTTCTTCACTTACCTCCAGATTGAGCGAGTTATACTTACCAGATTATTTTTTTGCGTTGTCAGTTTTAAATTAGGCAAAAATGCATCTGAATTGTTTGTGAATGTTTGCTAACGAGCTGCCATCAGCTTCAAACGCTGCTGTGTCCGGTAATCGGCCGTCAGCGCATGCGCATCTCTCTCCCCCTCCTAATTTGAGGAAATTAGAGGTGAACCATGATTTGATTTCAGAGAGGCAGAGTGTAAGGGAGGATGGTGGGAGAGTTGAGTTGGGCTTACTGGAAATGTAGAGCTGGGTGTCATCTGCAAAGCAGTGAAACTGGATATTGAATTTGCGGAAGATTTTGCCGATAGGGAGGAGATATACTATGAAGAGGAGGGGCCCCAGGACAGAGCCCTGGGGCACACCTGACTTGACTGGGGAGGGTTCTGAGGTAAAGGATTTTAACTGGATGAACTGATATATATACTGGATATCTCCTTTCCATAGGCTCCAATAACACGTTTTTGAGGCCAAATGGGAGGTGGCCACCACCGCCATTTTGACCGTGTCACAGGTTCCTTCAAACCCAGACAATTCCACAAAAGGGAAGAGAGGTGGAGCTGAGGGTGGGGCTGTAAGGCTGGGATCAACTGACGACACCCGGTCGAACTAGCTACAAGCTAACCCTGGCTAACCCAAAGCTAACGTGGAGGTGGAAGCTAAGCTAACGGAGGTAGCAACCTAGCTACAACCGGAGTTAACTGTGCACAACACCAGAGCTTCTGAGTCAGAGATACGCCGGGCTGACCGCTGGGTAAAACCGGGTGGAACACAGAGGTCTCCGAGACCTCCATAAGCTGGCAGCCGCACAGCAGACAAGCGCCGCTGCGATCTGAGATGTGCAGAGCTGCCGCTGGGGAGAACAGGGTGGAAAGGTTTCCATTCCAGAGCTCCACAAGCCGTCAGCCTGCGCATCAAACAGAAGCCGCGAAGCCAGGGGAGAACCGGGTGGTCACGTGGGTCTGATGCTCATTAATTATACAGAATTTTAGGCTTTTAATAAACTTAAACAGAAGGGTGAGAAAAAATTCACCCCCCTCAGAGTTGTCATGAGGGTAAACTAGATCATTTAAACCAAAAACATGTTTTGGAACCAGGCTGTAAACATGTTTATTTCTGCTGTGAAATTGGTATTTTTAACATGGGACTCAATGAGGATTTGCTCGCTTCTGACACCAGCCCCTAGTGGATGAGGGGGGGACTACAATTTTGGGTACTTCCGGGTTTGACTCAATTTAGAGCTCCATTGTGGGGGCTTGGGTGGAACACAGAGGTCTCTTTAGAGCTTCACAAGCCAGCAGCCGCGCAGCAGACAAGCGCCGCAGCGATCAGAGCTGTGGGCAGGGGACCATACCGATAGTGGGAACCCAGCTCCACCAACATGTTATATTTCAACCCATTTTCTAAAGTGCAGCATTATGTTAAATGCACTGGGTTTTACCCTATTACATTTAAATTTCATGGTTCAACAGTACATGTTAAAATCTAAGCTCAGCTCGGCAGTGACCTAAAATACATAAATATAATTTTACTTACCGAAAAAAATGAAGTGGAGACTCCTTGGACGCTCTATTAGTGCAATTAATGCCACAGCAAGTCATTTTGTCCAACAATTGCATAAATAATATCCAAAAAAGAACGCACAAACGCTACAACTAATGGTCTAAGTCAGGGGTGTCAAACTCATTTTAGCTCAGGGGCCACATTGAGGGAAATCTAGTACCAAGTGGGCCGGACCGGTAAAAAATAAAAAAAAAAAACTTCGGATTGTTTTCTTTGTTTTAATACAATCAGTATAAGACAAGGCTGGAGCCTGACAGTGTAGTACAACACCTGAGGTGTACTTGAAAATTTGAAAAATAAAAAATAAATAATAATCTACAAATAAAAAAAAACATTCCTTAGTGATTCAGAGCTTACAGATCACATGGCAAGATCAGTTTCATGCAGCACTTAAAGTATATTTGACTCATTTTATTTTACATATTTTAGCTTTCACCGGCACATCAATATCAGAAGTCACATCCTGAGTGGCGGCCAACTTCAGGATGTGATTCAAGTTCTTGTGTGAGCCTTGAGCGCAGCTTTGTTTTATTTATACTCATTACAGAGAAAACTTGCTAACAATGATAAGTTTATTTTCACTCTACATTGTAAAGTATGAAAATAAAGTTTACACAACCATCTCACGGGCCGGATTGAACCCGCTTGCGGGCCGGATCCGGCCCGCGGGCCGCATGTTTGACACCCCTGGTCTAAGTTGAGAGATTAAAAATCACGGAACAGTTTTCAGGCCAGACCAAGGCTCAGACTGAGGCCTTTCCATGGAGCTAGCTCTGTGGTCACGTGGGTCTGATGCTCATTAATTAGTCAGAATTTTAGGCTTTTAATACACTTAAACAGAAGAGTGAGAAAAACATTCACCCCCCTCAGAGTTGTCATGAGTGTAAACTAGATCTATTATACCCAAAACATGTTTATTTCTGCTGTGAAATTGATATTTTTAACATGGGAGTCAATGAGGATTTGCTCGCTTCTGACACCAGCCCCTAGTGGATGAGGGTGGAACTGCAATTTATTTCATTTCCACATTGGCCTCAATTTCAGACCCTTTCTTTTATTGAACAAAATCAAGTACAAACACCTCGTAGAGGTACAGAAACACTGTGCAAAGAACAGGATAACAGCATAAGGGAACAGAATAAGGGGCATTCACAAACTTAATTTAATAAAATGTAAGGCTAAAGAGGCATTTGAGATTCAATTCACAAGAAACATGTTAGAAGACATTTTTTGATCACGTTCAGATGAAGAAGTCTCAATGAGGGGTAGTAACGTTTAAATTCGTTCAAAAAATCATCAAAACAAGGGGCAACATTTATCCACTTACAACAATGGATGTGGCATTTGGCAAGCAACAGATAAAAAAGAAATAAATACAAACAAATAAAAAAACAATATTCGCTACGTCTGATTCTTTTCTTCCCAGATCCTTAAAGGAATATAAAACATGGGTAATGCTGATATCGGGAATGTTAGCTATTTTAACAGACACCCAATCTTTAATATCACCTTAAAATTGAAATGAAACGGGACACATAAACATAAATGATCTAATGATTCTTCAGGACAGTCGCAAAAGACACAACGGGATATCAGCCCCTGGGTAAAGTTGGTGACGGGATTTAAAGTGCGTCTCTTTGACTTTGGAAGAGCCTGGCCATTTCAGAACTTCCGAATACGCCTTCAGACCCGCATTGTGGGGACTTAGTGAATGATCACGTAACCGGAAGTGTGTGTAATCTACTTCCGGGTTGTAGACTGTTTACAGGCGAAGCTAATGCTAGCTATAGCGGTAGAAGGTTGAACAGTTTCTACTGCTGTTTCCGCTCCGATGGCGTCTCAGCTCCCCATAACCGTGAAGTCTCCGCCGCCAGCTGCCAGCGTGGCCGCCTTCCGGCCTAAGAAACGTCCCGGTAGTCCGGCGGCTTCAGGTGGGCAGCAGGCCGCCGGGGGCAGCACCGGCAGCGGCATCAAGAAGAGGAAAGGACCGCTGGTAGCGACACCAAGCACACAAATACAGGTGAGGCCGAACACACCGAGAAACACGGCATCTACTGACTCGTTCTTCTGGATTTAGATCTATTCTAGTAATGAACGTTTTTTCTTTTTTGAGTGTTTTTAGTGATATGCTGAAGAAGCTTCAAGCTGCGCGTGCTCATCTCGTGATGCTGAAAGGCGCAGCGTGTTTTCTGTCGCATCTCTGCAGGCAACAGCAAATGAAACGATGGCTGAGGTGAAGGCAGTGGGATCAGCTGACGGCGGTCCGGTCTCCTCAGAGTCCACAGCAAAGCCTCCACCTTTCAAAGACCACACATTCATGGTGATAGCCCAGCAGGCATCCATCAGATTAGACATCTTCCTGCGGTTGGCTCTTCTCTTCTCACCTTCTTCTCCACATTGACAGCACTCTGGGATCGGAGGAGCAGCAGCGGGCAAGAAGAACAGGACCTGGAAGAACCTCAAACAGATCCTGGCTTTGGAGCGGACGCTGCCCTGGAAGCTAAATGATGCCAACTGTGGGTTTTGTTGTTGCTTTTTACTTTAGTGTAGATAGTTTAAGAAGTTTGACTGATTTAATGTGTTCTGATTTGATATTTGCTTTGCTTTAATGTGTACTTTTATCACTTTTAATTCACAGATTACAACATCGACTCTCCTCCCTCCTTAAAGCCAGCAAAGAAGTACTCTGACATCTCTGGGCTTCCTGTGAGTTGGGCAAGAACAGCATACATTTATTCAGTTCAGCTCTAAATCACACAATGAATGTTATGGTTTTGCTTATTTTAGGCGAATTACACTGATCCACAGACGAAGCTTCGCTTCGCCTCCTCTGAAGAGTTCTCCTACATCCGTCTCCTCCCCACTGACGTCGTTACAGGCTACCTGACGCTTCGGAAGGCAACATGTGTCGTACCGTAACAGCTGAGCAGAACCTGAAACGGGTTCAGATCGGTGCTGAACCAGCACCTGCTGCAGATCAGTCGGACTGGGCTCTTCACAGCAGCAGCTCACTGCTGTCAGATGTGTTTTCAGACAACATCTAAAGAGAAAAGAAAGTAGTTTTCTTTTGAAGAGAACAGAACATTTGTGTATGAGAAAAGTTTTCATAAGACTGGATGGAAAGGTCGTGTCTTTATTTCTTCAGTTGAACGGGGGTGGGGGGGGACCTGTTTTAAGGTCAGCAAGAGGAAACATCTTTGCTTTTGCAGGTTTTTTGTAGCTTTTCCTGGACTTACTGTCGCCATTATAATTGTTGCAGTGCTGCATCTAAAACTTCACCTGCTGAGATGCAAAAACACAGAAAAAAATTCTGTTTTTGATTTTGATGAGCTGAAGTCAAAGAGCTGAAACAAAATCACGAAAGACACGTTACTGTCAAATATTGTTCTCAAATCTGGGAGCAAAAACATTTCATTTATTTTTTTTGTTAAGTGAATGTTTTGGGAAAACTTATATAATGCATTAAAATAAGGTTTAGTTTCAGAGTATTGTTTTCCATTTGTGCCTTTTTCACCATTTTCAGTGCATTTTAATTTGCTACAAATGAAAAAAAAATAACTGATCAGCCAACCAATATAACGGTCCAACATTTACCACTTTTTAGTAAAATACCGCTCCCTAGCTGATGTACCTCTTTAGTAGAGCTGATGTAAAGTCAGACACTTCCACGGGCAGCCCGGTGCTGCAGAAGTTATTAAAATATTTATATTAATGAAAAACATCTACTTAATAAATGATCAAAGATTGGTTAAATTCAGTGTTCCAAATGTATTCAGGTTGAGAAAAGTGCAGGATTGGCCGTCTGCTGAACACGACCTCTAGATATGGACAACACCCATATCGGTGTATTTCTAGCACATTAAAATCTCAAATAAACACCACCTATCAGCACTTTTAGGTCTTTTATTAAATTAGACACTATATAATTTTTAAAGTATATCTTGCTCGTTTTTTTTAAAGATTGGAGTCATCGTGCAGGTTTGGAGTATCGTAAAATATTTATTTCACCTAAAATGCATTTTTTCCCCCAATTTACAGAAAAATAAAACAGTTTAAAATAATAAAATGTGGAACTCTGGAAAAAACTGAAGCATAGAGGTTTGGTGGAGAAAGCAAGCTGAATAAAATCCTGCAGGTGGAAGGTGTTGTGTTCACTAAATACTGTAAAACTTTGGGATGACTTGTATTAACTCCACAGCTATTATTTCCTGTTTGATTTAGTTTTTCATCATTTAGGCGATAAGAACCAAACAGTTCAGAGAAATGAAGGAGGTCCGTGTAAAAAATGAGGATGGCCCATGTTGCACGACTAACAACGTAAATAAACCCGAACAATAAAAGGAAATGGGTACAAATTACAAGTTAACGTTTGCACCTGTGATTAGAACATGCATGAGCGAGCCTTTAAGTCAGTCTCATTACCACCGAGCAGGAAAAGCACAGAAACACTCATCACTCCACTGTCATCTAAACTCACTTCCAACACAAACAACTCCCATTCTTCTTCAAGCTGCTTCAGTTTCTGCAAATGAGAGCTCTTCCTCTTGGCTGAGCGCTGGAACTTCCTCCCGCTCTGAACTCTGGCGAAGCTGATGAGGGCAGTAAAGTATATCTATTAAAGTCAGAGCAGCATTTTCATTCCTGCTGTGGCATCAAAACCCAACATAGTGATTAATGAACGGTGTCAGGGCTTTCTACTAGCCAAGCACACAGCCCAGCAGAGTGTGTCCCAGTGCACATGCAAGCAGGTGTTTGTGCTTTCAGGAGCACTGCTTGGGCTCCCGTTAGGCTCTGACTGTGCTGTACGCATAGATCTGTGCCTACTTGCACGCTTTTAACTACAAAATATTCAAATCACGTTTATGCTTGATCATTTATTGATTTTAGTTTATTTATTTGCTTTCTTTCAAATAAAAAATCTTGCAGCTTTTCAACCAGTCATTGTGACTTCGATTGTCGACCACCAGGAGGCGCCAAAGTTCTGCTCAATCTGCCATCTGAGCGCCATGCTCCTGCGTTTATCTGTTCATTTTTTAATGCTGCTGCCTGATAACATTTATTAATCCAGTCAGAGTTCCTCCTAAACAACCACTACAACCTAGAGAGAAACCCTCATAAATCCTGCACAAACTGCACGTGGAATGAATTTTATTAACACTCGTAATTTATGTCGTAAAAGGTGAGGTTTTACATCTACAGCGATGCACGTGGAGCAGACGTATTTAAACAGGCGGATGACAATCATTACTCTATTTAGAATAGACGTGGAAATGGATGTCAGCAATTTGCCGCTCGATCATATAATAACCCTCATTATGACATTGATTGTGCTGAGCACAGAGGGTGGAAGAGTCGACACCTGCTGCACTGCTCAAGAGCTGAACCTGGAATCAATGAGGGGAGCCATCGATGGTTCGGGCTGTAGAGTTTACTTTGCTGAGATGAAGTTGTGCAAGTTTTTATTGTAGAAGCAAACAGAGCTCGGGTCAGCAGCCTTTATTCTGTCTGCTTTGGGGTTTTTGTCTGTTAAATGTTAACAAAAGGGAAGATGGATGTGTGACATCACAAACGGGGAAATTAGAATAGAAGCACCTCTCACAAGCCCCTCCCAGATTTCAGAGCTTCTCAGCCTATAGCAGTCTAAGTGGGGGATGGGTGGGCGTGGCCAACTCCAGCTTGTTTTCTTAAAGCGACAGAGCCCTGAAATGACTCATTCTGGAAGGTACTAAAACTGTGAGAGGGATTTTGTGCAAAGACTACATTGAACATAGAACTATTATAAAGTTACACATTACAAGTAAACAAGATACAAGAAACTGGGCGAATTGACAGAGTTTTGCCTAAATGAACTAAATTAGCGGCAATTATCCCCTCACTGAAGTGTGGGCCGATTTAGATAATTGTAGTAGTTTTTAGAACTTTGTGGCCGAACCAGAACAGTTTCCTCACCATAAAGGGAATGAAACCTGTTGACAAAGACCTCACCAGACTTTTTTTTCCTAAAGTAAATGAGAAAAATTCATGAGTTTCTTTCAAAAGTCAGGTCAGTGAAAGACTTGCAGCTCTAGGATGATCAATCAAGCAGCTCCAGCGCCCGCCGCGCCAGCGGGGAGACTTGTATATTTATGGTTTTGACTTACAGAAGCTCTGACAGTAGCGTGGTGAACTTCCCTCTGAAGATAAAACAGTCTAAATCAGGTTGATACAGCTTCATAATTTAGCAGCTGAAGAGCCACAGTGCTTGTTGTGGACATCAGCTCTGACGAAGACTCAACATGACGCCATAAATCAACCTGGAGCATGTGGTCGTCTCGAGAAATTAGACAAATTGTGACTGAAAACTCCTTCCTGTTGCCTGAAAGGACCCAGCACACAGCTGTCCGCCGAAAACGAGCTTCCGACTCCTGAAGTGTGTGAAAACACGGCTGCTTTTAACACACGGGTGCCTGCACATGTTTACAGTCTGCAGCTGGTTTATGTTTAATGGCTTTCTGTCACAAGGGGGACCGTTTAATCCTTGCAGCAACGTGATGGGTCTGGATTTGACCTCTGTGTAAAGCCCAGACTGCAGGAGTAGGGCAGGCTGCAGTAGCTTCTGATGATTTACTCACCAGACGTTTAAGACACGATGCAGGCAGATGCAACGCGTCATAATGAGTTTAGCCTGTTTCTCCGTGTGTCTCAGGAACCACTGGATGGATTCTGTTCAGTTATGCATTGTTTCTTCAGCTTCATCTGCATTCCACACTGGGCTGAAGCTGAAGATTGTGCTTTACCATCCCAGGCTGTTTATATACCAGCTGGTTGTCATTTCACAAAACATAAAATGCATATTTTGTCACGCTGAGCCGGAGGAGGTAGGGCCCAAAACGCAGAAGCCCAGAATGACTCGAGGCAGGAGCGGTTTTAAGAAAATAAATTCCTTTCATTAAAGGAGGGTGAACAAAAATCCAAAGGCGCAACACCAAGCTTAATCTCAAGAAACACAGAAACAAAACAGAAACTCACTCATGAGCACGAACCTGGAGAAATGTCAGGAGACAAAACAACGATGGACCGACAAACGCCGAGGGACAAGACAGGACTTTTAAACACAGAGGGAGGTGATGAGAGGAACAGGTGACAGGTGTGAGAGATCTGGAGGGAAGGCAGGTGTGTTCAGTAAACTAAACGGGGAAAGAACTAAGCAGGAGAACCTGGAGGAGAACAGGAGGAGGCTGGGGACGGAGGGACACAGAGCATGACATATTTACCTATATTCTAGTTTACTAATGAATGTACATCACAACAAGTATAATTTAAACGTGGACTAGTCTGGCCAGACGAACACCGGTGAACATGAACAATGTTCTAGTAGTAAGAAACAAGAAATCCAGTCCTTTCCCATGTTTAAACATCGCCTGCATCTTTAAAACTGAAGCGTGGGACAAGACGGCGAGTCTGTGGTCTCTGGGTCTGCAGAGGTGTACTAAAGTGGAATTCACATGATCAGGGGCGGAGTTTCATCTAATCCAAGCTTTTATGTCGAAGGAATGGCTCACAAAATGAACTTTAATGGTGTCTCAATAACGGTAATATTTGATCATATCACTACGGTTACTCTGGAGGGTGTGAAATAACACGACACAGGCCCTTTAAACGGTACACAGATCCTCTAATCTCAGATTCATTTCAAGGGGATTATAAAATCTCAAACACCAGCAGCTCTCATTTCTCTGAAAACTTCTCTTCTGCCCGTTTTTTCTTTCACCAACATCACAGTTTCTCCTCATGAGTGCCTTACATCACCGCTCTTTTTCGTTTGCCCTTCACCGCCTTCGTGGCACTACTTTGTCACCGTTGTTGTGATCACTCACTGTCTGCACGGGGACACACCACAGGAAAAGTGACTTTTAACCAGGACCGAGCGTGCTGTGGGAGCCCACACACTGTCACAGTTTTATGGTTCATTTAGCCAAGATCAAAAAAACAGAACAACACTGATCGCTGCCTCAAGGAGACCCGCGGTGGCTCGTTTCCTCCCCTCGCTTCGATGCAGCCAAGGCGGTGAAGAACCAGGTGTTATTGGGCTATAGAGGGCAAATGGAAGGTGTCATCAGATAGCTAATCAACTCATTCAGATATCATTACACCGGGCTAAATCCCTGTTAATCCCACTGCTGATTCAATCAGTTTTCCCTCACAGGTCAGTGTGTGTGTGTGTGTGCTCGTGAAGGCAAACGGGACAGAGAAAGGTAATTCTTCATGCTGATGGACCATGATTGTCCTTCAGTCACCACCCTGTCATTCTCTTGGTCTCCCTGTCCCGTCCGCTGCTTTGCCTTGAGATGGACTTCCATCCGACCAAATTTGTTCCAGAAATGTTTGCCATAGCATACCATCATTTATGTATGTAGCACATTTAAAAAGCAGCATGGGCGCTGCGCAGCTGGACCAAATCACAGCCAATCAAAGCAGCAAAAACAGGATAAAAATGCTGATCA